CCCCAGGCACACACCTTGGTTGGGTTAATCTATTAGAAAAATATAAAATTAATTAATTAATTATTAATTGTCTTTACAATGAATGTTTTTTTTTAACAATAGTCATTCGACTGAGTCCTTGATAATTTCAGCATCAAAAAGAATCTTTTCTGAATTTCTCAATTTTTTAGTCAGCAATGAACAATATTGACCAGACAGTGGACAAACCAAGATGGGACACTGGATACACCTAGATGGACAGTGGACAAACTTGAATGCATAGTTGACAATATTGGTCTCATGGAGGAAATACTGGATGGACTCAACTCAACAACTCTGGATGGATAGTGGAAAACCAAGAACATTCATTTCTTGACCAACCAGGTAAATGCAACCGCGTTTAATTGGTAGAAAAAAAATTAATATACTGGAAATTACCAGTACAACTGTATCTTGTCTTACATAATAATATTGTTTTTTTAATAATAATCATTGGACTGAGTTGCTGAGAATTTCACCACCAGAGAGAATTGTTTCTTTGTGTCTCAATAAAGAGGCCCTCCAAGTGAGGACCACAAGTTTGTTTGTGAATGTCCACCATAATTATGTGTTAACCCTAAATAAAGGCTTTATTTCATCTCATCTCATCTCATCTCATCTCACCTCATCTCATCTCATCTTACATGTATTTATATTACTTAGTCGGCAGCAAGCAAGCTTGGAAATACAGTGGACAAACCAGGATGGGACACTGGATACACCTAGATGGACAGTGGACTCACATGAATGTACAGTGGGCTTTATTGGACACATGGTTGAAAAACTGGATGGGCATGAGTGGACAACTTTGGTTGGACAGTGGAAACCAAAAACATTCAGACCTTGACCAACCAGGTAAATTCACTGTCCTTTAACCATCTTGGATCATGTGTACTAAAGAGATCCACAGTCGATTGTCAATTGATACCTTCAAATGACATCTTGATGTGTCCTGATCCATACTCGGTCGAGACTCGACAGTCGGTCAATAATCAGCCGAGTGTCGACCAAGGTGTAGATGGAGTGTTGATTGGGTATTGATGGAGCGTTGATCGAGGTTATTGATTGACACTCGACTCGATGCCTTTACACCGTAGTACACATGATCCACCATCTTTGCTAGATATTCTTGCTAAAATTTCAGGCAAAGTAATCTGAACCTG